AGTCTCTCAGATGGACAGAACTGGACAGCGTGCAGGCATTGCCTCTGGGAGCTTATACTGAAAGCAAAATAACAAAATAACCCCAAAAGAAACCTGCTGTGGTGCCCGTAAGGCACACATGGAGCCTTATTCTGACCTCTGGAATGTTTAAAGCAGCTGAGGGTGCTGCTATGGGTGAGCACCTGCCTGAAGCCCTGGCAGGGTTTGTTGCTCCATGCAGTGATGCTCAGCTGAAGGGATGCTGACTGCTGAATAATCATGCTGCCGTAGGAAGGAAGCATCTCTCATGTAATTGGCAAACTTAAAATAGTTCTCTACGTTACTATGGGCAAAACACGCTTTCTGTAACCTTTTAAATTGACTTAATGCTTGTTCTTATTAAAGTTAGGCTTTCTGAGCACACCTGTGAGCTCATGGGAACTTGTTTCTGCAAGGAGGAGAATTTAAGCCAGCGTTTAATTTCACCCTTATCTCTTGTGACCTCCTTACTTGGAACAGTGATGTTTTCTTTTGTACTCTGTGCAGCCCATGTGGAAAAAATAGGTTGTCTCCCTGGGATCCGTTTGCCTCTTTACTGCAGAGGAGCAGCCGAGCTGAATTCCACATACAAACACCAAGCTGCATTCCTCAGTGCACCTCAATGCCAATGTTAGCAAACCTCCAGCATTAATCTAGGTGATGTTTATACCCTATCGTATCATAGGAGCTTTACAAAACTGACATGAAAACTCATTGCTTGTTGGCAGTGAGCACACAGCATCCCGTGCACACGAGGTGTGCAGTGAGCAATGCTGTCGCAGCGCTGCCAGCACAGAGCAGTCATCCAGGGCCATGGCAGGAGATGCCTTTTTTTGAGCTCTGTTTGATTTCTTCTGCTCTCAGGTGCCACTTTGGAGATTTCAAAGAGCAGCCAATAAATGGAGCTTCAGATATAGAAATATTTTGTGAATGTTGCTCTCTTGGCTTTACTTTCATCCTTACTTCCGAATATTTGTGCTTGGGTAAAGCTCCTGTGCTGGAAGTTCTGCTCTGGGACCACAACTCAGCATGAAAGGGATAAAGCAGAAGATGGGGAATAGTGTGGGAGCCAAATAAGTACATTTAGCAAGATAAATTCTGGAAAGGGGGAAGAAGGCCACAGCTAAACACGTTTTGACTGTCAGAGAAGTTAGCTGGAACATGATTCACTGCGCAGAAAGATTTGCCATTGTAGAATTTCAAATACAATAAAATAATGACTTTGGATATATATATATATATATAAAGAGGTTTTGAAGGGTCCTCCTTATAGGAGAACCCAAAGCAAGGAATGGATCCAGCAGAGAGAAGGTGAAGTGTGTGATCAGCAGGGTGCTTTGAAGGGCACTGAAGGCGCCATGCGCTTGGAGGCTGCAGCTGAACAGCTAATAAAAGATTTTTCTTCTGCACCTCTAAATTTGATGAGTATGAAGACATCCTCAGGATATTTGGCCATACAGTTATTTATTTATTCTTGTTAATAGAACAGGGAAATATTTCACTGGAAAATTAACATCAGATTTCTTGCTTTTGACCATCAGACATAGCTTTCACCCAACTCATACTTCCTAAAGCATTGCATAAAGTTGGCATTTGTCCTGTGGTTTTTCCCTCATTTGATTTGTTAAATTGCACAATCATCGTTAATTAACGAGAGGACAGACATCGAGGAGATATTGGAAGCAGTGGTTTAGAAAGCAAAGAATTGCACTGCTGCTATTGTCAGACCAAATCAGATGTAACAGCGCTTTGGAAACTTAATGAGCTTTTGCTATGGCTGAGTTTGAGCAGCAGAAGTTTCAGCTGCGTGTGCCTGGCTGCTTCAGCCAAGGAATTAACCTTAAATTCCATCTTGGAAAAGCATAAGAAGATGACCAGGTTTCCTTGGAACAATGACACATCCTCTGCCAGGGAGAGCGTCAGCCTTTCCACTGACTTAAGGCTCCTGGCAAAAAACACTTCTTCATCGTTCTGCCATCTCGCCGTTCCTACAGACGTGTGCTGTGTTTGAGTTGAACCCTGTGGAGGTTTTGCTCACCCATGGCTGTGTGGGCAGCTCAGCCCCATTCCTGGCAGCTCACTGACCCCCTGCCTCCTGCAGCACTGCACCTGGTGCTGCTCAGCACAGCTGGATGCCTCCAGCACCCAGTGAGGCTGCACCCAGCCTGATCCCTCCAAGCAAATTGAATTGTAATGTTATGAAGCCTTGCAGTTTTTCTGAGTCTAGAGAGGGCAGTTGTGTGTTCATTTTATGTCTTTAATTATTTTAGTTGGCCGTGAAAGGCATTTTTCACACGATGAGAACATGCGTTTGCGTTGTGTCCTGCACAGGTTGGTGCAGTTTGCCCATGCTGCACAGCAGCTGTTGTGGCAGTAATGGATGCGCTGCATTTCCTGCATGTAGACCCAAAGAAGCGACATGTCAGCAGATGCACCTGCTGCTCAAGGTCTGGGATCCACGTGCCATGCAGACAGGATCACAGTAGGGCTGACCCTGTGCAGCTCCAGACAAACAAATGAGACTCTAAAGCGCCTGCTGCTTTGCTCCAAGCTCAGACCTGCCAGAGTTTGATGCGAGGATTATTCTTGGAGCGAGAGCAGAAGGAGCTTCCAAAGCCACTTTGGAGAGGACAGCTGAGAGCATTTGTTTTGTTCCTTGCTAACCTCATTCTGCACACACATAGACTTGCGGAGCTACCGTGCTTTTGATTAAGACTCGTGCGCGTGCCATATCATAACCAGCTTTCCCTCCCGTGTTGTTGTTTATCTCTGCAAGAGGAATGACCAGTAAATCAGTAAATCACTCTGCAGGGGACTCCTGTAATCACTGCCTTAGCTGCTAGCTTACTGGAGATGAGCTGCTTTTTCTCTGGTGGTGAGGAGACCACAGGAACCTGCAGCATTTCTAAGCCCTGCCTGTAAATGTTATCAGTAAAGTCTTGGCGAGGAAGTGCTGCTCTTTCCTGGCAGAACTGTGTACCAACAAGGTATGTAACTTCATTTTGTCTTCCAAGTTACCAATTTGAAACTGTTGCCATTGGAGTGGATGGGTTCAATGAGATCGTGTTTGCTTCTGGGACTGGTTTCCTGTTCTTGGAAATCTCTGCTGCTGTTTGGTCTGTTTTCATTACTCATTGCTGGGCAGTTGTTGGTTGCATTCAGTACCACTGCAGCTCTTTTTGGTTAGTGGCATGCGGTGATTTAATGTCATGTGATGTAGGAGGAGGAGGAGGAATTCCACACCTGCTCCAGGGTTTGGTATGTCAGTATGTGCAGAGCAGAGACCCACAGGCTTGTCTTTAGCCACATAAACCAGAGCAGACCTAATGCACTTGTACTCTGTAGGGTGTTTTGTTTGGAAGATATATTGATCTCGGTCACCTTGGAGCAGTATTAATGGATATCTATTAACAAAGCAAAACAGAAGTTAGACACTGCTGCACTGCTCGCGGGCCCTCTCAGGAGTTGCTTCAGCCTCTGCTTTAGCACACATAGACCAGGAGTTTGTCTAAGGGAACACTGAGAAGCCCTAAAATGAAAGCAAGCTACGTGGGTGTGAAGGCAATGAGTATAAATCAGCAGCTTAATCCTCAGGTAGCTCTGCTCTTTCAAATGAAAAGCGATCTCAGTTTGCTGTAACTCAGCCCTCCTACACACAGGGACTTCACGCCTACAGATGATTCACTTTCTATTTCTGGAGAGGTCGTGTACAGACTTGGCTCGACATGAATCCCAATGGGTGCACGTTACAGTGTGTGTGAGAGGAAAGGTGATGCAATTCCACCTTTGACTTAACTGGACCCGTGACTTTTCCTACCCTGTCTCACATCGCACAGAACTGGGTCCTGTGCATGTCAGGGGGCTGCTGCAGGTGTGTGCTGTGACTTTGTGGCTGGGCTGCTGGCTGTCCTGTCCACAGAGCTGCAGGGATGTGCTGTAAGGAGGCAGGGCCTGGAATTCCATCGTGGGCAGATGGAGTGGGTGCACGGACCCTAAATAAGCACAGGGCACTTTAAGGGATGGAAACTTTTCTTCTTGAGTAGGAAACCTGCTTTTGATTGACCTGCAGCTCCATGGAACCTGACAGACATGGAAAATATTGCCATGTATTGGCTTTCCTTTAACTGCATGTTTGGTTTGAAAATGTAGTAGCACTTCAAATACGAAATTTGATAGTAAATGATAAAGTGATGGGGAACCCCAGTGAAGAAATAAGTTATTGTTATCACATTCATGGCAGCATGCAACACACAGAAAAGTCCAACTTACAGATACGTCTCTTTCTAGAATGCAGTTTTTGGGTGTAATTAAGCTAACCGTGTTAAAGACCCCCTGAATTTGGGTTGATCTGCAGGGCTCTACTGCACACCACCTTCATAAGAACGTGGGAATGTGTCAACATTGTGAAGTTCTCATTGAAAAGCTTTTGAGATGAAAGTTTGCTCTGAAGGAGGAAGGAATTAGTGGGACCAAAACGGTGTCAGGAAGCCAAGAAAAGAGTTTGCTAAGAAGGTGGAATGGGAAAAGGCCAAGAGTGGTCAAAGGGGATATCTCATGGGTTTTCTGGAGAAGGGATGGATGAAATTGGAGAGGATCTCTGTTATCTGGCATGTGAATAATTATGGAGATATTTTCAGGGAACAATTAATTTGCAGACTTCTAAGCCAGACGTTTAATCCCTGCCTTGAACACTTTGCCTTCCTATGATTGCTTTATTTTTGAACCATGTTTTTTATTTTTAAGCTATCAGGTGAGATGCCAGAATCCAATGGCATCAGAGGGTCTGTGCAAGGCATGAATGCTGAATATTTCCTATCTGATGACTGCAGACAGGCTCTGCTCCCCGCTTCCCTGAGACTGAGTGTCTTGGAGCGAGCTGATGTGACTGCAGTGCTGTGTGCGTTGTCCCATGGCTGGCTCAGCCCTGCTCACTGACCTGCTCTTTCTCTCTCTCTTCCCACCCTCTCCCCATTCCCTTGCAGCTTTCGCTCCCAGAAGAACAGAGCGAAGTGATGAGGAACGGCTGTGAATCCAAGGAACTTGTCTACCTTGTCCAGATCTCTTGCCAGGTAAATGCTGTGTTTTCTCTCCCCCACGTTGTTTTGCAGCCCATGTTTAGTAACCCAGCCTTGTAATGTTTTGATGTGGCACTTCCCTGCAGCACGTGTGGGTTTTTCTCCACTTCCCTCCAGCTCAGCCCTCAGAAGGATGCTGTCTGTAGTGCTGTGACCAGCTAGTCTTAAGGAAACAAATCCCTTGGGCAAATAATCCCAGCCCCAGTTTGTGCAGAGCTGCACAGCATGACCCAGGGCCACAAGCATGCATGCTTCAGTTGTGTCTGTGTGTGTGCCCAGCAGCTGAAGGGAGCACAGCAGGGATGCAAGGGGAGGAAATCCATGTGCAAGGCTGTGGCTGGTGCTGGTGGTGAGGCTGCTGTGAGCCGTGGGGCAGATCCACCCCCAGCAGTGACACCTCTGCTACTGCAGAATCGGAGTGCTGTGCACAAATGGATCTGTTGCTTTGTGCCTATCTGATAGAACAGGGATGGGGACTTTGTAAAACGCTGCGTAATAGGCTATCATGTTTTAATAGACTGAATGAAATGGTTGTCTGTGGGAGACCAGTTGCATTGGCAAGTTCCATTGAGAATTAATGCCTGCGTTTGGCATTTTCCTGGTCTCAGCATAGCAGTTCTTTTCATGATTCATCTCAGCACTTCTTGAGCATCCATCTCAGCAATTTGTACTGAACATTAATGGCAATCACCGTGGAGTCTCTCTCTAAAGCTCTTTATGTGGTTCTGCTGACCTTTCTTGGGTACTAAAACAAAGTGTACAGAATAGGGATGCGTGTGCAGCCTGCACTGGATTGCGTGGGGCAGAGTCCAGTGACTTCCAGTGAGATTTTTCAAGGGATTTAAGGAATCTGAAGACTTCAGATATCGTCAAGGGTCTGTAGGACCTGCAGGATATGTGAGAAGAGGAGCAAGCCCTGGGAGCTGCAAGTAGCAGTGAATTGCATGCAAGGTTTGGGTAGTGCTGTGGCCAGCCTGAGCCCAGCTGTCCTGCAGTTTGTCTGAACTGCTGTCAGCCCTCGGATGCTTTGTGGGGATGTCTCAGAATGTTATTCAGAGAGCTGATTTCTCTGGGGACAGCATGGTGAGTCTGCGCCTTGCACATGGGAGATGCAGTTTGCAGCCAGGCTGAACAGAGCTGCTGCCCAGTAGATCCAGAGGCTGCGAGTCGTGCCCAGCTGCTGAGCTGTTGCTTTCTTTTTCAGTGTTCTACTAAACTAAAATGAAAGCACTGGGAGTTGGCCTCATCACTTTAAAGGATGGGCACAGAACCAGTCACCTTTGCATTTAGAAATCCTTCTGACCATCTCAAATGTCTCCACGCCCCAAGTTTGTGATTCATCTCGTGTCAGTCTGTGCCTGTCTCTCAGATCCTTGCGAAGCTGAGAAACTCATGGCATCTGGATTCAATGAAAGGATAGGCATGAAAGGAGCTGTGCAGCTGAGTATCATTTCTGCCGTGGAGATACTTCACCCCTGACATCTCGTGGCCTCCCCTAATGTCCAGGGAAAGATTCCATTCTGTCACGCAATGGATATCAGTGGCGTCTGGATGGGTTTGGCTCCACATTGGAATTAAATGGGAAGTGTGAAATAGCTCATGGAATGATAGTGCAGCAGAGAGAGGTTTTGGCAGGATGCCTTTTTATCAGGCCAAAAATATTGAGGAGGGGGGAAAAAAGCCTATAAAACAAATTTCACTTTGCTTGCCCTTTGGATGTACTACTAGTATTGGTGTGCAGCCTACTCCAGCAGCTTGCAAAAGTCTCCTTGATTTCTCAGATGGACACAGAGAAAAGCGGTTCTGCTAATTAGAGTTATATCCATATGCATTTAAAAGCTTTAAAATAGCTGTTTTGTAAAAGCAGAAAATAAAGATTCACAGACTGACCAAGGTTGGAAAAGATCTCCAAGATCATCCAGTCCAACCGTCCACTTATCACCAGTATTTCCCACTAAACCACATCCCTCAGAACAACATCTAAGCGTTTCTTGTACACCTCCAAGGACAGGACTCATACCCACCTCCATGTGGTGCACAGCAAGAGCATTTTTGATTGTTTGGTGACTGCTTTGCAAAACCTTCACAGATAAAGTTTAAAAAAATGGAGATGTGTGAAGTCAGCTTGTGAAATACAGACTTTGTGTGGGCTGCAGGGGGTTCTGAAAGGCCATTCTCAGCTTTTCTTCTGCTTAGAGATCTTAGGAAATGAATCCAGGTTATTAGCTCGTAAGAAGTGGAAATATATGGAGAGCTGTTCCACGTGGGTTTGAGAAGTGGAAAGGTGGGATTCTTCTGATTCCTTTGAACACATTTAACCATGAAGATTAGCAAATGGCTAAGGCAGTGTTGTTAGTTGTGTTTGAGAGATCTGCTAATGGGTTTCCTTTGTTTTGCTTTGGTGTTTAGAACAGCAAAGGTGGATCTTCCTTTTCTTGAGGAAAATTGCACTGTTTGGCTGATTTGTACAGGATTGCTTTCAGGAAGCGTGCAGTTCCTGCTGCTGACTGATTGCTGCCATTAAAACAAATATAAATGTATTTCTGTGATGGAAGAAGGAATGGGCGAGTGGGAAAAGAGAAAGAGCTTTAGAAACAGTTTAGAAATGCTTTTCTGGGAAGAGGAGCCCTGCGTTGAGTTTGCGTTTTCCCAGTTTGCACACCGTGTGCCACCTGCATTTTTGCTGGGAAGAAGAACATCTTCAAGGAACGTTAGGGATGGTTTTTCCTGCAGGAAATAGAAAAGCATGAGCCAGTTGGATGGGTGGTGTGAGGGCTGTGCTGTGCGCCTGCTGAGCTCCATGGGCAGCAGCTGCAGCAGTAACTGCAGCCCTTTGGGGAGTGCAGCGCGTGGCTGAGGCCTGCATGAGGTCGTGCTGTATCTGTGCACTGTGAAGGCTCTTGGACAGTGTTTGCAGCCCTTGCTGACTTCCAGAGGGGTGAGCAAAGGTCTGACGATGGTCTGTGACACAAAGACCGAGTGCCACACTGCACCCTCAGCTCCCTGTGTCACTGCTGGGTGCTTCCCATGGCATCGTACCCATGTCCTGTGCAGGGATGCTGCTGCATCTGCATCCAGCTGGTCTCAGGGCAATGAGCTCTCAGTCCCAGCGTGGCTTTTCTCTACGTTTCTGCTCACATTTGCAGACCTCGTGGTGGCAGTAGGTTGAGCAAGTCCATGTTGTTGCATGGGATGCACATTTCTTTGCACTGTTCCTGTTGTTTGTTTGCAGCAGCCGTTGCTGTCTGTGCTGTATTCATTTTGATTGATAGAATAAGGTCTCTGATGCAGTGCATGAAGGCATTTACACAAATATCTGCCACTCGTATCTCCCGGCTCTGCCTTGCACAAGATTCCAGCTCGCTATCTCCTGTCTGAAGAACAGTTTTGCAAAACCCTGAAGGCAACCTCATCCAGCATCCCGGGGCTGGTAGTGTGGTTGCAGTAATAAGTGCTTCAGGGCAACAGGGAGAGTGCCAGGAAAAAATGAGATCCGATAGGAAGAACAGTCAGGACTCCCCATCCTGGGTGGTTTGTGGGGAGAGGAGAGTGGAATATATGTTCACAGAAGCAAATGTCTTACTCAGACTCTAATGTCTTAAGTGCTGTTTGCTGATTCAGTCTGCCTGTGAGAGTCCTTATTGGAAACCACAACTGCTTGCAGTAGGATTTTTGAGTCAAGCATTCAGAAATCTTTTGTATGATTGTTTTGTTTTGTTTTCCTTCTTAAAAGCTTTTTCTTTAATGTATAATAGCTTTGTCTTGTGTGACTGAGGCTCAAACACCTCGAGAACTGTTACTGTGGAAGTGCTGTGAAATTTCTTCCTGTGAAAAGCTACAATTCTTTAAGCAGATGGGACTCTGAGGGCCAAATTCTGGCACACAAAATGTATAATTGTGTATGTGTGCATCTATCTGTATTATATATATACATAAGAGATTGGGATAGATCTATGTGGAGCATCCACGCTGGATCCTACCCAAGGCAGAATCTCTTCCTCACCTTTCTTAACATAGCATTTGCTGCCGTTGTTGTTTAAGGAAGAGTTTGCAAAACAAAAGCAGTTGCTTTGTCATTGCATTGCATAGTGAATTCAGATAATGCTTTACCTTAAGCCTGTTGCTGAGTCCCAGCCGGGATGAGCACTGGATTCCCCCATGGCTGGTGCAGCACTGTCTGTAGCCAAACCAATAGGTGTGAAATGACCACACATTGCAGGAGGGTGTGCTCTGCTTTCTTGCCTGAAGATGACTGCAACAAAGTGCCTGGAGGAATATAGCTTCACCACCCAGTTTGCCTGTGAGATTTGGGTACATCACATGCCTGAAAATCCCAGTTGTGACACCTGGAACCTGTTTATAACTCTCCCAAAACATTTAAAATCCTGACTGTGAGCCTTCATGGGTCAAATATTTCTTGCCTGTCCTTCCGGATGCTCTCAAATGTTCAAACCTCTGCCTTAAGCATTTCTCAGGATGAGAAAGGTTGTTCTGTGTTAGTCAAAAGAAAGCAATTGAACTCCTTGTTCCTGCCCTCCTAATCCATCACTTGATGTGCTGTGCTTGAACGGTTGATCTCAGGTCATACACTGCATGCCTTCCTCTCTCAGTAGCGATAAATAAACGTGAAGTGACACCAGTGGGTGGGGTTAATAAAGAATGTATGAAGCTGGCAAGCTGCCTGGATAGAGTGGTTGGGTTGTGTTCAAAGCTCAGGCACTAGCAGAGCACTGGCAAGGTGTAGAGTCTGCTCCAGGCTTGGGTCTGCTCCAGGCTTTCTGAAAGTAGAGTAGCATCTGTAGAGAAAAGAGAGAAGAGATTGAATTGCATGAGAAACCTTTAAGAATGACATAATTAACATCTACATCTATTACTCTGTAGCTGTTATGATAATATTAAGGGATAAATTCATTCATTAATTAGGACGATTATCATTAAGGACAAGGATCTGACAGGCTGTGCTTTGGAGCTTTGCCACACAGCAGTGATCTGGG